GTTTTTTTTTTTTTTTTTTTTTTTTTTTTTAAAGATGACCGGTAAGGGGGTCTTAACACTGGACTTGGTGTTGTCAGCACCACGCTCTCCCGAGTGAGCTAACCCGCCATCCCTATTTAGGGATCCAAACCCGCAGCCTTTGTGTTATCAGCACCACACTCTCCCAAGTGAGCCACAGGCCGGCACTTCAATTGGGATCTTGATAATGGTTTTCCCATCTCATTTTCATGGTCAATCTTCTCTCTAGCTTGTTGAACATAAGGAATTCAATTATAATGACAATTATAAATGTCCTTGTCTACTAATTACATCATATCTGTCATTTGGGGATTTGTTTTGATTGTTTGATTTTTTTTTTTTCCTCTTTATTATAAGTTGTGTTCTTCTGCTTCTCTGTATGCTTGATCATTTTTTGTTTGGGAGACAAACATTGTGAATTTTAATTTGTGGATGCTGCATATTTTAGTATTCCTATAAATATTCTTGACCTTTGTTCTGGCACACAGTTTAGTTACTTGTGAATAGCTTGACTCCTTTAGGTCTTTCTTTAAAGCTTTGTTAGGGAACAGATCAGTGTTTAGTCTATGGCTAATCTTTCCCGTTTACTGAGTCAACAACCTTTCTGAGTAATCTGCCGGTTGCCTTGTGAATTATAAGTCTTTCTCTTCTGGCTGATGGGAAGAATAATTATTTCTAGCACTGTGTGAACTCCAAGTATTGTTCTCTCTCCTCCTTTTGGGTGGTCTTTTCTCCAGACTACAGTAATTTGCTTACAAATTATGTGCTGATGTGCTGATCAGTACTTAGCTGGAGACACGAAGGGGATTTTGACTATTATCCTGAGTTCTCTCTCTGTAAAGCTTTCTACTCTTCAGGACTCTATCCTGCAGACACTACCCATTTTGGCCTCCTTCACTCCCAGTTCTGTCTCATTAACTCGGGGAGACAATTGTCTCTACTTAGATTTTCCCTCCCTTCATTGACTTTGGGCCTTTGTCAAACATCAAATGACTATAAGTTATGGGTCCATTTTTTTGGTTCTCTACCTTCTCTGTTTTAACCATCCTTCAAAAAATTAGTTTCTTATTGGTAATCATTTTGGCTTTACAAAACTGAATAGTACCTGCTAATTTGGATGTACTTACTTTCATAGAATTGGTACATAAAACTGTATTAACATGTACAAGTGTTAGGTTACCCCTGAAAGTCTATATAACTTATGCCCTGTAATATATATTATATCCTGTTTATTACTACTAGGTAATATGTTTCATGTATTATCACCAAATGTTCTAAGGACTCAAACTTCAATAGGTCTTTTTTTTTTTTTTTCTTTTCTAAATTTAAATTGTTTACCCACAATTATTATTGACAAAAAGGAAATGTCAGTTGCCTACTTATGATATATAAGATAAAATTAGTATTTCTTAGAAATACTTTCTTCTGCTTTTTAATCCATTTGCATATTTATTTTAGGATTTTATGTTCTTTTACATTAAGTTTATAGAAATGAAATATTAGTTTGTTTGTTCTTTTTTATATTCCTCCAAATTATTGTGTAATTATTTTAGATTTTCCTCCTTTTTTAAGTAAAAAGGTTTAGAAACATAATATTAACTTGTGTTTTCCTATTTTTATATTCCCCCACAGTATAATTTAATTCATTAATACTGTAAAGGACAATTATAGTTTTATTTTTTTATTGCTAGTCTCAGTTGCTTCTGTTCTTGCTATCATTCATCATTCATTTCCTGAAAGTCTTTGTGATATAACCTCTTTTTTTCTCACAAAGCACTCAATTGGGTAAAAAACTCAAAATCTGCTCTACAGTGCAGTATTATTGTTATGTTCTATCATTGAAAATTATTTTTGTGTATCTTTTTCTATAGAACATACAGTGGGAGAGGTTATTAAATTAAATCCTAGTGGATCTCCAAGAAAAGTCTGGGGGAAAAGCCCTACAGATTCTGTTCTAAAGATACTTGGAGAAGCTGAACTACAACTTCAGACAGAACTATTGGAAAACACAACTACTAGGACTGGTAAGCAGAATTACTTGTTTTTCTATACTAGAAGTAATATTATTAAAAAACAAATCATGTATTTTAAGGTGTTTCCATTTTAAGTGAATTATTTGTAATAGATTATCTTTTTGTTGTAATAATTTTCTTTTTTTTTTTTTTTTTTTTTTTTTTGTCTTTTGTCTTTTTCCGTGTCCGGCAACGGATCGCAAC